GGAAAGATGCAAAATATATACAATAAAAAAGAGGCGGTCTGGAAGATACAGGCTTGAAAATCTAGTCCTTGTAGAAGTACATTTGAGTGGAAACACTAGACAAACTCTACACTACGAGTATATGCGCAATCATGTCAATCACGAATAGCGAAAACGATAAAAATTAATGTCAGAATTAACACTGATTTATGAAGCAGTAATAATTGAATTTCGACGAAATCCTGTTTTGTATCTATCATACTAATCATAGTAATATTATAAATGCGAAAGTTTAGATGGATGGATGTTTGTTAGAGTTTGTAGCCTAAACGGCTGAACGGATTTCGATGAAATTTGGCATAGACGTAGAGGGTAGTCTGAAGGATCACATAGGTTACCCAGTTTTGTTTTTGTAATTCTTCGCTGATGGAGTCACGGGCGAAAACTAGTTATAAATAAATTGAACTTTAACAGATTTAAAGTTAATGAAAAATAAGCAAAATCACTAAATCCTCGTTTTATAAAGAACATGGTTGATATCCTATATCGTTGGAAATAATTTCCACTTGAAATACCATTTGAAATACAATAGCTTTATTATTTTTCTATCCGTTTTCAGTGTAAGCCAACTGTACCGGACGGCGCGGCTGAGCTACACGTCTGTGATCCACCGCGCTACTCCCTACTTGCTCGGGCTAAGCCTCGGGCCAGCTCTCAAGAACAATACACGTCATAGCAAAGTACGTTCGGCTTCACTCGAACTATTATAGAATCAACGATATTTACAGTTCGCTAAACAAACACTTCTATGAACGTTGATAGTTTCTTTGAAATGTTGCATCGAAGTGTACTTTGAACGCTTAATATAACGGAATTACTTTGTTACTTGTCTAAGTGATGTTAATTCCGTGAAGGGGTATAGATTTATGTATGTTTTTATCTAAGAATATTACATTTTATAGATTAGATCCTTATGTCTCATCCTGCTCATTTGTGTGTGAATTTAATGCTAATGAATTTAGGTAGTAATACAGAAGTACAATTTGTGATACGATGTAGTATCACTGACCACTAAGCTGTTAGTCGTTAGAGACAGACATTAGGCGGCTTGCGGCTTCAGTGTCTTAATCTCGTACGTGTTGAGTTAAATGACGTATGCACTAATGTATTCCTCCGAAAACCACAAGCTCCGAGATTGTAGGCAAGCCGCCAACGGTGAAATATTGTCGCGATACTGGCTCAGGGACCGGGGGGGAGCTCGCCTGATTCGAGATTGTGGAACAATGTATTTGTACAAATAAAACTAAAGGTCTTATTTGATTTTTGTATATCACTATAGTAAGTGCCAAGTTAGCAGATGAAAGTAAAATTTACTATATATTTTAACACTTTGATGAGAAAATTAATAGTAACTACAATAGCATCTCTTTTTTAATTCCAGT